AGCAAAGGTTTAACTGCTCAAAAGGTCTTTCCTAGCCTTCATTAACTATTTCTTTTGTGCTGAACAATTTACTAATGAGATAGGATTAGGGTGGGATACAAGCTCCACCCTCCCTACTAAAGGGTAATATAAGCCCACAAGAGTGAAATGCTAGCTCTCTTTTGGGGATGCCTGCTTTCCAACTGCACTGCAAATAATGGTTTGCAATGCTTACTGTTGTTGTTGTTTTTTTTATGTGCTGTTGAGTCAAGCATCAGTCATAGCGATTCCTCACTATCTCGACATACTCAAGGCCATTGTCGCGGTCACTGTGGCAACCCACCTGATTCAGGGTATTCCTCTCTTTTGCAGCCCCTCCATTTTCCCAAGCATGATGTCCCTCTCCAAAGAATAACCTCTCCCGGCTACAAGCCCAAAGCATGTGAGATGAAGTTTTTGCCTCATCCTTGTCTCTCAAGAGCCTTGTGGCTGCACCCTCTTCAGGACATATCTGTTTATTCATTTGGCAGTTTATGGGATATTCAGTGCTCTTCTCCAACACCACAGTTCAAAGGCATTATTCTTCGATCATCCTTGTTAATTTTCCAGCTTTCAGAAGCACAGAAAATGACTGAAAGACCATGGCCCGAATCAGGTGCAGCTTGGTCCTCAAATTGACATCATTACTCCTCAATAATCTGGAGAAGTCCCATGCTATGGGGAGGTCCCCGATCACAGATTTCCCCAGCCCAATCTCCTGATCTCCTGACGGCTGGTAACAAGTGTATTGATTGTGGATCTAAGCAAGATGAAGTCACTGACCACCTGTCTCTGTACATCATGATGTTACCTATCAGTCCAGAAGGGAGGATTTTTGTTCTCTTGATGTTGAAATGCAATCCACAATGAAGTTTGCAGTGTTTGATCTTCTGCAGCAAGTGCGTCAAGCCCTCCTCACTTTCAGCAAGCAATGTTGCGTCATCTGCATGACACAGATTACTGATGAGTGTTCCTCCAATCCTGATGCCACATTCTTCTTCACAGAGTTCAGGTTCTCTAATAATTTGCTCAGTATACAGGTTGAATAGGTATGGAGAGAGGATACAACATTGAGGCACACCTTTCTTAATTGTAAAACCACGTAGTGTTCGCTTGCTCTTTTCACACAACAACTTCTTGGTCTAGGTATATAGATTTTGCATGAGCACAATTAAGTGTTCTGAGATTCCCATTCTTTTCAATGCTAGCCATAATTTGTTATAAGTCACACAGTCAAATACCTTTGTATAGTCAATAAAGCACAATTAGACATTCTTTTGGTACTGTTTGCTTTCATCCAGGATCCATGTGACATCAGCAACAATATCCCTGTTGCCACAACCTCTTCCAAATTCAGCTTGAATGTCTGGCAGTTCTCTATGTACTATTCCAGCTGTTTTTGAATGATCGTCAGCAGTATTTTGCTTGCATGTGATCTTAGTTGTAGTGTTTGATAATTTCCACATTCTATTGGATCACCTTTATCAGGAATGGGAACAAACATTGACCTCTTCGAGTAAGTCAATTAGGCAGCTGTCCTTCAAATTTTCTGGCACAGACTGGTGGGCACATCCAGGGATACATCTGTAATGTGAAACATCCCAGTTGGTATCTCATCGGCACCTGGGGCCATATTTTTTTTTTGCCTATGTCTTTAGTGAAGCTTAACTTTCTTCCTTCTTTACCATTGGCTCTTGATCAGATGGTACTTCCTCATTTTTCCCCACCATCCAACTTCTTTTGATTCTTCCTGGATCATTAAATATTTTACGCAGAGCATCCCTAAGCACTTTAATTTGAGGCTTAAGTTTGCTTTTCAGTTCCTTCAGTCTGAGCAATGCTGAGCGAGTTCTTTCGTTTTTATTCTCCAATTCTAGGTCTGTGTACATTCTATTATCGTAGCTTGCTTAATCTTCCCAAGCTGTCCTTCGAATTCTTCCTTTCAGCTCTTTCATTTCAGCATTTCTTCTTGGTTTGTCATATGATTTCCCCCCCAGCCCCCCGCCGGCATACAGATTGAATAGGTATGGAGATAGGATATAGCCCTGACAAACACTTTTCTTGATTTTAAATAATAGTCTTTCCTTATTCTGCTGGATAACACCCTCTTAGTCTACGTATAGGTTTCATATGAGCTGTTGTTGCTGGTATATGCTATCGAGTCACCTGTGATTCATAGCGATCCTATGTACAACAGCTCTGAACCCTGCTCTATTCTGAGCTAACCTTATTGTCTCTGACACGTCTACCCCTATTACCCCAGTCACTGCATTAATCCATCTCATTGAGGGTCTTGCACTGTGCCTCCATCCTCCCAAGCATGATGTCCCTCTCCAAGAACTGGTCCCTCCTTGTAACATGCCCATAGTATGTGAGACAGAGTTTCAGAATCCTTGCCTCCAAGAAACAGCATGGTTTCACCCTCTCTAGGATGAACCTGTTTGTCCTCCTGGCAGTCCATGGCATATTCAATACTTTTCTCCAGCACACCTTAAAGGCATCAATTTTCCTTCTACCATCCCTAGTCATTGTCCAGCTATCTGATGCATAGCACTTAATTGTAAAGACTATGGCCTGAACCAGGTGTACCTTAGTCTCCAGAAAGGCATCGTTGCTCTTCAGTACTCTGAAAATGTCCCTGTCAACAGACTTTCCCAGTGCAATTTGTCTTTTTATTTTCTGGCTGCTGGTACCAAGAGTGTTGATTGTGGAGCCAAGCAAACTGAAGGTGTTAACAATCTAAATCTCTTCATCGTCTATCATGATACAATGAAGTATTCTGGGATTCCTATTTCCCCTCAATGTTAGTCATAACTAACTTCCTATGCATCTGACATCAGAGCAGAACTACACCATGAGGCTTCCAAAGCCCTAAATTTTACAAAAGGACATAACCACATCTTTCTCTTATGGTGGATGGTGAATTTGAACTGAGGACCTTTTTCTTGGTAGCTAAGTACTTAAACACTGTGCTACGATGGCTCCCTGGTAACAAGTATACCATCTGTTCATCTGTTAATACCTTTTCCTAAATTTTCCTCTTTCAAGTTTCAGACTAACCTTGAATTTCATACTGAAGGAAAAAAA